TATATATATATATATAATTATACTAACTAATTAGTAGTAGTATACCCACTACTATTTTAACTTAGTATAAAAAATTAATACTAAATAGTATAAATTAGTTAAACATTTTTTATAATCAAGTACTAAGCTGTTTCAGCCTATATTTTTATAGGTGTATTTTAAGGAAATTCTAGAGACTTCAATGACTACATTTGCTCTTAGAATTAGTGACACAACTACAAATATTTACTGTTGTTAGAATGGATCCATAGCCCTATGTAAATCTTTTGGTTCTTAAGTTACTATAATTACCTGAAAAAGTTGGAAAATATCATAAACATAATTAAGTCACTTCTGTCTCAAAGCAGTTTGTCTATAGAATTTTTTTGTTATGATGCATTATTGTTTTATTTTAAAACTACAAAGATGCATGTACAATATGAAAAAAAAAGTAAAGAATTTTGTTTTGAGAATTGACTGAGGTACTAACAAAGACAGTGATACATAGTATGAGTTGGTTTTTATAGAGAGAGTGTTTTACTTAAATACATGTTTGTATACATCTTTCACAACGTAGTACTTTTTTTGAATAGTGGCTGATATTAATGTTATTATGATAAAAGTTAAAGAATCTTTAGAGTTTTAAAGGTTTTGTGAACATATGTTAGTTTTCCTGAACACAACAGTGATCCATTTCTTATTACCATCAGTGACCAGAAAATTAAAACATAAGTTTCTTAAATGCAAAATATTTTTTATATCAGCTTCAGCAGCATTAATGACATCTTTAATATGGTGTATTTAAACAAATTATAGTGATTTCTTTTTCTTTGTTTTATGAATAATAATGTGTCAGACAAATTGTAGTTATATTTTATTAATAGGTGAAATCAATGCCACAAGAGTAAATTTAAAAATTCAAACTTCAGCTAAATCTACTTATATTTGCTTAACGGAGTTCTCCATTCCCATTATTTACTTGTTTATAAATCGTACCAAATTACATTTGTTTTAAAGAAACTAGATTAATATATTTTATCTGAATTATCTTCTCTTAAAAGTTTACTCTCGGGTTTTATCTTGTATGGATAGTAGTTTTATTACTGGAGGTACAGCATAATTTATTAACTGAAGTGTTGTCTTTGATAAGAAAGTGGTATGGAGTGGATTCATCATGTACTCAGCAGCTTCTGAATTTTTGGCAAACCCGGTGATTTTAATGCCAAAATAAGTACAAGCTTGGCTATAAAAGATGAAACTATAACTTTATCAAATTCTAAAGTTGTTGAAATTAAGATTCAGATTTTGTTATAGATTTATTATCAACATGAAGAGAGTTCAAAAGCTAGAAATTACTTTTTAATTTCCTCCTGATTGATTGCACTGCCACAGATGTTGCTAAAAAGTGTTGTATAAGTGAATTAATAATGTGATATACAGTATTCATCAGATTTGCAATTTTAATGTCTTATTCAGTACAGAATGAAATACACTTGATGCTAGCTTCCCAATCTTATCTGTAAAACTTAACATAAGCTCCAGTTTTCTAGTTGCATATGTTTGTGTCCACAAAAATTTTGTTTTGCAACATATCTTCAATTTACTCACTAGCTTACTTCATGTATGATTTTCAAAGACAGTTCCATGAACTTTTTTCTTGATAATAAAGAATGAAGAAGCAAAATGTTTTGTAAGCATTTAGAAATTGATAGATTTCTGAATGTTTTTCAGCATTTTTAAATAACTGTCTTGTAATTAAAATCATTGTAATGAAAAATACACAGAGTTTAATATTTATCTAAAGTTATATAGGAGGAAATGCTTTATGTATTTTGATTATATATATTTATAAATATATATACAAGTACATCATTTTGTGTGTACAGCTAACAAATCATTTTTCTGTTTCATTATACCCTTATTTTTTATTACGGTGAGATGCTACAGTAAATAGCCCAGAAAAAGTATTTCTTAAAATTATATTTATCTAACACAAGTTGTTATTATTATGCACTGTTGTTGTTTTTATAAAGTCACTTTCTGGTTTTTTAAGTGTCCATTTCATTTTATGGGTCTAAATATGTAAAAGGTGTTTATTTCCTAAGCTAAACATATTAGAAAGATCCCATAAATGTGTGAATAAACTGTAAAAAATATCCCCAGGTCTGTATGCTTATGAGCAGCACTAAAACTTTGTGTTACTATTCATTGATGTATATAGTATTAGTGTCAACTTTTCCTTATGATTAGAGACACTGGATGTATTTTTTTGCACCGTTTCAGGGTGCTTAGCAGCACTCAGATCAACAAATTTTGGGGATACTGAAGCATCCAAGAAACTGATGCTCATGCATCAATAATAAATACTGAAATATGTTTGTATGTTGTGCATTTAGATAGATCTGGAAGATGTTTTTGCAGATATATGTTGCATACTATGCATTTTTTGTCTTCTCAGCCATCTGGAAAATATTCAAATATAAAATGTAATGTTTCTGCACACTTGATGGAGAATTATGTTTATTTCCATGTTAATAACCACTGTTTGGAAATCTAGGAATTAAAGTTATGTGTGGTAATTCAATTTATGAAATTATTGTATGCTGATGATACAGTATGTATTTTAAGATAACAAAATTCAGATTATTAAAGGTGTAAAGCTGAATGAAGCATATTTGACATTAATATTGAAAAAAATATATTTCAGCTTCAGGCAAGAGTATATCTTTTAATACCAGCTTTTGGACTGATATCTTTATCCTGGTACAATGCAATATAAAAACTGAGTACAACTTATAAAAAGTTAGGCTTACCAGTAAATTCTTTTAAAAGAATTACAGTGAGTAATATTGTGACATTACATACAATAAAACAGTCAAATGATGTTAAAGATTTGAACAGTATGTGTGAGGTTACAATAAGTTGTCTTTATGATGAATGTAGGTGTCATTAAACCGTAATATTAAGTCACTGAAAAAAAAAACTATAAAATAATTGGTACAGATACAGCCTTTGATTAAGCAATTTAGTATTCAATTAAGTTATTGAAGCAGTTATGAAAAAATATTTAAAGGCACATCGTATATATATATACAATGTGGAACTGTGTGCACGTACAAGAAATAAAAAATCTTTAACACGTTTTATGTAAAATATTACTATCACATTTGAAAATTAAGTATAGTTGTATAAAATACAGTAACATTAACAAACCATGCATTTTTAAAGTGGTAACTAAGTACCTTTTATGTACATATTAATATGTGGAAAGTCTTTCAGACTTTACTCAATATACAATGAGTGTTTCTGAAAAAACAAAAACAAATAGTTTCTGTCAGTGTTTAAAGTGATCAATCTTTATTCATTGCTTAGTTTAAATATTGAATGAAATATGGTTCTTTGATTTGTTTACCACTGTACTGTGTAATATTGTGTAGTTGCATGAACCTTGACAAAGAAATTGGATTGAACATATGATGTCTTGTTCTTTACCAAGTGTTATGTAATGTTATTGTTGATATTTAAATTATTAATGTCACACATGTTCTTTGACCAGCCTGTTTCTCACCATAATTTTGGAAACAAACAATACATTTCAGTTCATACACTAGATTTTTGTTTTAACAAAAGAAGTCTAATTGACATTTGAGCATATTGCATTTTATGTCATTACATTGTTTTGGAGTGTTAAATGAGGATTTGACTAAAGTGTGTTGGAGGAACTTACCTGGTTTCTCAGTAAGGTGAATGCTGAGTCCAGATATCTTGATGACATTTTTTTTTAAGTCTGTGAGACTAAAGAATCATCTTTTTTTAAAGTTAAAGGTTGTTTCTTTTTAAGAACTTCAGTTTGATGATTTCATGAGTACTTTTGTATCATCATGTTAAAGTATACATATTCATAAGAATGTTAACTTGGTTAATTTTAATGAAGAAAATGAAGAGTTGTTGGAATATGTAAAAATATTATACTGATCTAAATATATTTTAATTTTTATATTTCTGACAAATACAGAGAAAAGTGATTTATATGATTTAATATTTTCATAAATACAGTTATGTACCTTTGAAATTATGGTGAACATAATAACCTTTTCAACATATGTACAATACTTTGTCAGTATGGTGTCATTACATAGAAATTTTAATCCAATTTTGGCTATAATTTTATACTTTTTGGCAGAGTTTATATCTTTGTAATGTGTATTCACTAGTTAGAGGCTACAGGCTCATTGTAATTTTGTGTGTCAGTATAGTGTGTGTGTGTGTGTATGATCACAAGGTATGAGATTAATGATCATAATGCTTTTTTTTGTCTCTCTCTCTCTGGATTTACTAGGTAAAGGTCAAAGTTCATTGTGTCTCAGTGTAGTGTATGTTCACTAGCCAGAGGCTACAAGTCCATCATGATTTTGCCTCTCAGTATAGTGTATGTTACTAGCCAGAGGCTGTAAGTCCATCATGATTTTGCCTCTCAGTGTAGTGGATGTTTACTAGCCAGAGGCTACAAGTCCATCATGATTTTGCCTCTCAGTATAGTGTATGTTACTAGCCAGAGGCTGTAAGTCCATCATGATTTTGCCTCTCAGTGTAGTGGATGTTTACTAGCCAGAGGCTGTAAGTCCATCATGATTTTGTCTCACTATAGAGTGTGATTTATGACATAGAAGGTTAAAGTACATCATGCTTTTGTCTCTCATTGTAATGTATATTCACTAGTCAGAGGCTTCAAGTTTATCATGATTTTGTCTCTCACTGTAGTAAGTATTCACTAGGTAAAAGTC